CCGTAGGGGATGGGTAAATTTTAAAAGTTTTAATTTTCAGTTAATCCAGGGAACGGTGGGGGACTGGTTGTGCTTAAAATCATTGGTATAAAGTATATACTGTAAACATAAAAACAGTAAAACTTGGATAAATAATTTTCACGGAGGAAGACATTTCGAAGGGTGACCCCTTAACCCTCCCCCCACCAAGTGCAGTTTGCCCCACAGGTCATAATTTATAACGGATGTGGCCATTACGGGATGTCAATATATCATATCGAATCATAATAATAAAAAGTGGCAACGGTATTATATGAATTTGTTTCAAATAAAACCTATTAATATATGATTTAATGATAGGTACTAAAAACGGCTTAATATTATATTCATAATCACATAATTAAAGAAAAAAGCGCCCCTCACACACAAAAAAATACATACTTATATTATGTTGTCTTGACTCTAAAATAATAATTTGATTGGGGAGAGGTAATAATGTCTCACACTGGGCACAAAGGCGAAAACTAGGGACATTTTTCTGGGAGGGGGACTAGAATTGAATCAGCAGCACAGACCCTGACAAATTATATTTTAAACTAAAATATGATTAAAAAAACGGGGAGGGGGCTCAGTAGACTCGAGGCTAAGCCCGCCTAATGTTCCCATAATTGCGCATAGAATGTCCAAATGCGGCCCCTCGATTACAGGTATGTTCCATTATTATAATTATATAAATCGACCAATAATAATGTGTATACTTATTGACGTATAGACGTGGGAAAAGCACATTAACGCGATGTAAATGTGTCGTACTTAAAATCGATGCGTGACACACTGCACTAAAACGACGTGACACATATTAAACCAATCAACGGAGACTATACAATTTCGATTCACCCGATTGTCAAAACTATAAAGGCATGTACCTAGGTATATGATGAATACGTTTAAAAATGAATAAGCGTACTTTAATAACGTATGTGTATACATACAGTACCTACCTAACACAATTTATAAATTTAGGTTAGATATTGACGTTTTTCATGTTTTAAGTGGTTTAAAATATTGTATGCCATCGTCATAATATATATATAGTTGAATATTCATGTATATACCTATTAAATACATACATAGTGAAATGTTGTTTCACATCGCATACAATTTCTCGAAACTTAAATACGTGACATAGAGAAAGATTTATAAAATATTAAAATGTAAACGTAATAAAAATATATAGTAATCTAAAATTATTGGTAAAAAAGACATTTAAATATTGAGGTAGGTACCCACGCACATTTATTTTTACTCTTTTCCGTCATCCTTCTAATTTTTTCCAAATTCAAGTATTTTATATAGGTACCTACATCATAATACATACATTGAGACGTGTGAAACAACTGACCTATATATCGGCTATTATACACACAAGGTTTTTTTTATTGTTCGATTTGCTCAAAATCGGTTGTCCGTAAAACCGAAAATGCACAGACGCCAAATTATTCAAGGGAGGGGTTCAAAAAATTATTTTATAACTAATATAACTGTTTCTCTGTTCCTTTCCAGAGGAGTATATACATTATACATACTTTTTACTGCTTAATAAACTGCATAATTATTTAATACATAAGACCTCAGGTTTTTATGAAAATGTCAGGAAATCTTTGAAAAATTAAAAAATACTATAGGTATGCCATTTGCAAGGGCGATGAAGGAGGAGGGGTACACCACTGTATAAAACCGTTATTATTGTCCATTTCTAATTCGTTAACAAGTGCCGACAAACATCACATACCTACCTATAGTTTACTATAGGTACGCCCAATATATCGTATAGCCACCGACGATTCGACTAAAAATAGGTACCTAGACACAGCTGGATACTGTCCTACTAAATTTTTTTGTGGGCTCCATACAAACTGCCAAAAAAATACAACCGCGTTAAAAGCGATATGGGTGACCCATACACGATTTATAGACTTCTGGGTAAAAAACGGTTGACCTACAACTGCTTGAAATAACAAAATTATTAGAAAATAAGTATTTCTATCAAAATTTCAAAAATAACATACGTTTCAAGGGGGCCCCTGTACACCAGGGCCAACAGCCTCCCCCCTAGTGGGGGTCCTGCCTATAAATATATTATTACACTGTACAAATACGTCGGTCGATTGTTCTCGTCTTCTGGAATCGTTTCAATTAATAAAAACATAGATAGGAGGTAGGTACCGATACGCGTAGTGCCGACGTCGCATTATTATTACCTATATTATTCGATTGCATTTGAAATTCTACGCACTTCCGTTTATAATAGGAATTTTAAATTGCGCAGGCACATAGTGTCAAGTGGACACTATATAGTTTTACCGTATCGATAATTCAATTACGCATTATATACATTGGACACATAATAATAGGTAGGTACATCGCTGCATGGGCGCTTCGATAAAATAAATTGGCTCGCCGTGCACTCGTCGCTCTGCAGGGGAGAAAATATCGATCAATTCGATAAAATTTTAGAGCGTAGACGACGGTGGCGATTCAACACTCGACTTTATTTTAAGGGTAGGCATATGAAATAGGATCCTACGCCGGCAGCGTCCCTCGGTGAACTGAATAAAAATTTATCAACGATAATCATTATTGTTTATAAAATACATTTTCTTGTTGTTTGAGGCAAAAGACCAATATATATATATATATATATATATATATATATATATAATAAATATTATTATATAATTAATATTATAAGATAATATATGTTTATTAAAACGGCTTTGTTTAATAATTCAAAAAACTAAAAAGGCGTGTTATTACATATATATTTTTTTTATTATTTGTTTTTTCTTTTATATAATATTTTATAATAATAATAATAATAATAATAAAAAAAAAAACGTTTCAACTCTTTGCGCTCCAATTTATAATAATATATAATAATAGTAACAATAAACGCGTACTCGGATTTGCACTGCAAAATGGAAATACATCGGCTGCACGTACGATAAATAGCCAGCGAAAATCATACGTTACACGACGTGTTTTTTAAGTCTTCTATTTACTTAGCTAAAACGGTGTTATTAGAAAACGTTTAACCGACAACGGAGCGCAAAGTGTTAAGTGCGTCTTCACAACTCATCATAATATATACACATTATAAACAACGTTATAAAATCCGAGATTCACAACAAAACATCAACAAATTTGTTAAGTACAATTAACATTTTTTTTTTCTTTTTTCATTTTTTATGAAACATTTTTAATATTCCGACGACGTTACCTTTAAAAACAATCATGTAATATACGAGACAAGTAAAAGCTGCCTAAACATTATTTTGTTGTCTTTTATAAGTTTTTTAATGAAGGTTTGTTTACAGTGTGATGTTAATTATTATTATTACGATAACATTAGAATCCAAGATATGCAACTTTGGATTGTCAACAATTGCCTAAGTACTTAATAAGCGGTTAAGTATAAGTTATGATTACAAGTGAAGAGTAATGAGAAATGTGAAGTATTTACTTTGCTATACTTAAATCTATAAGAAACAAGTTTTAACAATGGTATAAAAATGTACACTGTAAATTGCATATAATTAAGAATTAAATTTTAGCCAAGTATAGATAAATAAATTATTAAGTGTAATGTATACTTCTAAAAATAAGTTAAATATCCTAAGCATTTATATGTACATATAACATAAATCACAAGAAATATTGTAATTCAAGAAACTTGAGAATGTTTATAGATGTAACATAAGACGAAATTTGAGTACATTGTTTAATGTAATAATGTATATTAAAATTATGGTTTACCACAAATGTAAAATAAATATTAATCATTATTATAGCAAATATATTGTGAAAAAGCCATTGGTGTTCATCTCGAGTTTCTTGATTGTCTAACAAGAATACAATATCCATAAGGCATAAGTTAGTACAGATAATAAAATAACAAAGGTATACTACATAAATGTTACATAATAATATTGGTGACAAGAAATGTGAACATATGCGCAACTAGGGGGATGCTAGGACAACTTCAGCACCACAAAATGATTTAACCCTATTCTTTGTTTTTATTTTATAATTTTAGTTAGATATTTAAAGGCTTTCTATAATGTTCACTGAACACTAATCCAATATCTATTATATTAGCACCCCAAAAAATGTAGGTCTAGTTGCACCTATGATTACTATACGTTATGACACAATTAGTCTAAACGTCTTAAACTCAAGTATGTTCTACATTTTAATATCAAGAAAGTAATAAATAATTTAAAATTAGGAAAAATGGGCTAAAATAGTGTGTTGAAAACATGCGCTAGTCAAAAATAACTAGCGTAATTTTGTAAGTACATAAATACATATTATTATGTAAAAGCTCATTCATTTAAAAATTATATAATGTTAACACTTAGCAACAAAAAATAAAAACAAATTGGGACGGTGTATTTTTGTAACATCTCACTAGGATTTTTAAAAATTCATAATACTTAATCAGATACTAGGTCAAGTCAACTTTAAGTTTCCTTTATAACAGATACATGACGTGAATGAACACAAAGCGACATGTTTTATTTAGCAACTAAGGGGAGTAGGTATTAACAGATGTGGAAAGTCCGACTGGCCATACTTTCACCCTACAAATAGAGATACTTCAAAGGAACAAGAGATATTAGAGATCAACAATATATATATGACAAATCGACAATAAAAATCATTTAAAAAAATAATAAATATTAAATGTTAAATAACAGTCATTTTTTTAATGTCGTTAATAAAAATAATAAAAAACTTGCATCAATCAAAAATTAAAATGTTTTCTTTTAAAATTGTTCATTCAAAATGTTTGTAACATAACAATACAAAAGAGTAACAATTCATAAATATACTCTTTAAATTATTTAATTAAATTGATTTAAAAAAAAAAAAAAAAACGATTATCAGTCTTTCCCTAAAGCATGAGTCGGAATTTCCACATACCATACTGTTAACACCACTAATCATTTGTCATATTATCATACATGTATTTCTTGTTCTTCACATTTTCCAATAGTTGTGTAGTGTATCTTTCTCGAAGAAGTATTAAATTCAGGTCTCAATCGTTTCAATCCAAATCTAGATACATATACTACAACACCCAAAAATGCAACTACGGCACAGAACACAAACAGCATTACCAATTTGTGTCCCCCGTGACCACCATCAATTAATGTGGTGCGTATTGGAGTTGGACAATCGTTGCGATAAGCAGCATATGGGTCAAGAGGATTTTTTGGCAAATCTTGGTTACATCTTATAGAATCAGAGTTGCGAACACTTACCTTAGTGGTACGCAACCAACTATATAGGTTTTCAATGTTACAGCCACACGAAAATGGGTTATTGGACAAGTCGATGGCCAGAGATCTATTTTTCTGTACACTATCTAAGGCGGAGAATTGTTCTTCAGAGAGTCCACGTATAAGATTACCTTCTAAGTCAATGAAACGCAAATGTGGCATACACTTTATATTAAAATCAATGCCTGTAAGTTCATTGATGCTGAGATGTAAGTCGAGGAGACGAGGCAATGAGCAGAAAACATCAGGTTCTATTATGACACTCATCTTATTCTGTTCAAGATGAAGTTTGGCCAAGCGACTTAAATTACTGTAAACGAATACTTCATGCAAGTCGGCAGTTATGTTCACAACACCTTCATCAGCAAAAGCATTAGTGAGATGTAGTTCTATCAAACTTTCAAAGTTTGAAAATACTCTAGAAAATAAAATTCAATGTTGTTAAAAAAAAATTTTAAATATACAATCTACAACATAAATAGAGGTATTTAATTATTATGTTATATTATATCAGGAGCCGGAAGCTTCAAAATAAAATGAAATTTCTATCGGCAATATAGACTAAATATTATTTATTCAATTTAAAAATAATAATTTTATGCCTAGATTTTTTTGCATAAAACGTAGTATTAATAATAAAATAAATGCATATTTTGTTAAATTAAATTTGATTTTATGTAAATTAAAGAAAAACAGGCATCGCATATCAACTTTTATTTTTTACTTAAATTGCTTTACATAGCTTCAGAAGATTATTTAAAATAAATGCATAAATCAATCCTTATATAGACATTCCGCTGCTGAATAATTCAATCAGTAGGTGGTCCTACTAGGTGTGGCAAGCAAACAACACGATGAGATCACACACTAGTGAGTAATTATTATTTCAAATGAATACCAAGATAGTGACCTCACAAATTTATATAATAGCTTACTTAATATTCATTAGAGATGAATAACACTTTAATTATTATTAAAAAAAAAAAAATAATAATAATAATTTAAAGTTTAAATTTGGAAATATGTTTAAGATTAGTAATGGCAACTATGTTCTATCATATCCCAGGACCCAGAGTTAGCATAACTAAGCTAACATATTTTATATTAATACCTATATATTTTATTTTAACAAGAGTTATTGATTGAATTAAAAACAAAAGGTCATTATCACTATGACGTAAATTAAATTATGCAATTTATATTACCTTAGGTAGGTATTTGGATATAAACAAAAAGAATAATGTTTGAAACTCACCTAGGATGATGCAATCCAATGTCATTCAACCCGATTTCGTTGTGGTTGAGTATCAGCCGTTCGACTTTTGAAACGTGATGATAACTCTTTCCTTTGATCACTTTTATGCCGTTGTCGGACATGTCCAGGAATCGCAGTTTGTCCAAGGTGCTGTTGACGCCAAATAAGTTTGTTGGCAGCTCGGGCATTTTGTTGCCAGTGAATATCAGCACCTGCGATCAGAGACACAACGTTTGGTACAGGTATGGTGACAAAGCACCGGAGTAGCGGGTCTTGGTCTACCATACGCTAATCACACTAGTATAAAATATTAAAACTACCCATCGAAGGTCCAAGTTATAGGCAGCATTAAATTGGGGTGAGGGGAGGGTCATGCGAGTGAAATTGGCTCACTGGTGTAGGGGGGCTAAACGATACTATGGCCCCTCCCAATACCAGAAAATAGGGTGAGGTGGCAAAAGAAAAATGAATGGTTCATGAACGTAGGTACCACCTACCTAATAATACCATTAGGCTATAGGTATTCCATGGAAATTTTTGTTTGTCAATTTTTGAAATTTGCATTGCCATCTTAAAAATATCTAATTTCTGAACCACCAAATGACGCATACAGCCATAGGTAGCTGATCACTTACCTCGGTCTCGCTAGGCAGGTTCAGGAACACTTCCATGCTCTGATGCATGTTCAGCCCCGTTCCCGTGCAGTTGACGGCGTACAGTTCCTGTCGGTCGTACGTCGTCCGGCCGCAGTAGCACGCGCTCAGCTGGTACTTGGCGCACCGGACCGGCGGCTGCCCGGACGCTGCGGCCGCCGGCTGCGGAGGCAGCAGCACCACCAGCAGCAGCACCACCAGCAGCGCGGCCACGGAAGCCGCCGGGACGGTGGACGCGGCCATCGGATCGTCCACGCCGAAACGCGAAGCCAATCGGGTTTTCACACGGGCGCCGGGAGAGCTGCACCACCACACTTCCAATGACGATCAGGAATCGCGGACGAGGCAGCGGCACCACCGAACGGACGGACGGACAGGCGACAGCTCGTCGTCGTCACCACCACCACTGCAGGCGGCTGCGGGGGACGGCGGGACGCATGCGAGACGACGATGACCGCTTAACGCGAACGGTGTTGAGCGACGAAATCGTTTTTATCGAACAAACAACCGCGCGCGCGGTCGACCTAAATATTATCGTACGCGAGTCGGGCAAAATCGGTTTTTTTCCCCTATCCTGTTTTCCCTTTTTTCTTTTTCTTTTTCGCGCACTGTCTTTTTATTATTATTATTATTATTTTTTATTTTGAGGTTATCGACACGGGGGTGCTATGGAGGCACGACTTTACCCGGCCATTTTGTTCGACGGAGCGCGCCACCCCGGTTCGAAAATCTACGTGACGCGTTTTATCGATATTATGTTTTTAATTTTAACAACTACCTATATTATAACGACGTGGTACGTACCTGCGACGATATAAATATAATAATGTATTATATAGATCGAACGCTGCAGTAAGCCGGTTTTTTTTTTCATAAAACAATATTATATTGTATTAGTATAATACGATGACGCGAAAAATGTTAAATGTTGCCCGTCTCGGATCGTATAATATTATGTTAACGTAATAATATGAATGTCGGAACGTGCAGGGACGCGCACGACCGTACGTCGTACAGCGATATTGGACAACTGATGCGGCGATTAGTATTTTCGCCGATAAACACAAAATTACGACGACGACAACGATGCACTGTCATGTGGATCCGCACGCGGTGGGGGCTCGCGAACAACGATGCGATTTATTGGATTATCAATTGGAGCGACGGGACCGAGACGCGTCCAGTCGATCGGCCGACCTCGATTCGAATATTTTGGTCGCGCGCGGGGGCACAACACAATGAAATAATATTTTACCAGCTGCGATGCGACGACCGGTCGCGGCGGTTCTCCTCCGAGTGAAAATATTTATGAAAATTTTTTTTAAATAATATTACACAAGCACGCGCTTATTATACAAGCCACAAGGTGATCATTGGCGTGCGCACAGGGGTTAGGTTAGATCCCTTCGGCCTTCACCAATAACGACAAGGGCCCTAATTATCAATTAAGTGTAAATTAAATTAATTAAATTATTGACGAATTCAAAAATGTTGTTCCTTTTAAACGTTGATTATCATAATAAGATTGTATATCTATATATTGCTATGTAATATTTATTAGAATGAATAATAAAATAAAACAAATATTTTTAGTGCATTTGATATCTTTAAAACATTTGTCTGTATCTATAATTGTTTTCAAAATTATTGTGGGCCCTAATTTTTAGTGTGCACCCCCGGAACCAAAAGTCTGCGCACGCCTATGAAGGTGATTGTATACAATAATGTGTTATTGCGTATATATAGGTGGTACAATATAATTATGTTTGAGTTCAGGGGCGGACTGGCAACTTTTGGTCTAGGGTTGCAAAATTAATATAATTATAGGGACTCGTGAATTTTTTTTAAACTTACTAAAATCAGGAATGAGTTCTACATTATAATAAGAGTTAAATTTAAGAAACGGGCCGAAAATGGTAGTCGAGGTCTGTATTATAAATACGAATGGGGGGCCCGGGGTGCTACCTGGATTATAGCACCCTGGGCCAGTCCGTCCCTGTTTGGGGTTGTTCGACCGACAACATTTTTGCAGAGTTTTTGATAAAAAATGAAGAAAAACCGTTTTTACCAAAATGTATTTATATTTATGGAACATATAATCTAATTTTTTTTAAATATGTATTCTGGTGTAGGAAGCACATCGTAATATCAGTAGCGTGACTAGGATTTTTTTCAAGGGGGGGATATACAATTTTTTATAGACATTCAGTATACACATATTGTATTCATATTATTATATGCATGTTGTATTGTGTACAAAATACGGTCCCCAGGGGAGGGGACATATCCCCCCCCCGTAGATACGCCACTGCGTAACATCAAAATAAAATATAAATTGCTTACCCATGGTAATATCATATTATGCGTGACGAATCCTGGAGATGTATGAAGACAATAGACACACCGAACTTCAGAAAAAAATTGATGTTGGTAAAAAAATAACGCAAAAATAAAGAAAATAATAAATTGAGTAAATTCACTTTTTTTAGAACAAATTAAGAATAATTATATAGGTAAAATATGTAATAAAAATGTAGTGTATACAGTAGTGGGGGGGGTACAAGTATACAAGACAGACGGTTTGACGGAAGGGGGGGTCCAATGAACCTACATCACAATTTCTAGGCTGTTTTTTTAAATGTTGAAGTCCCTGGGCCACTTGAGCTTTAAATTCACACTATAACATTTTTTTTCCTATTGCCTTAAATTGTTTACTTTCACAACTTTAACAATTTGCATTCGTTTCGTTTTGAAAATAATTTGTACATTTCATTTCGGGTACCGAACAATAACGTTCTCCACAACTCACAGAAAGCTAATGGAGTTGAATTCCAAATTCCAAGTTGTTATATATGCATGAAAAATACCCGAAAATCACCAAAATAAAATATTAGATTTTTTTCTTGTAAAAACTAAAAACCCGGTCCAACATGTTTTGTTTTTCGAAATCTACGAAAATCATGTCTAAAGTAGCCAGTCAAACAGATTACATAGTCATTCACAGATCACCGTGTACATAAATATAATACCTATTACCGTATTGATTATACAATATATAAAATAATTAAAAAAAATATTTTTTTAATATTTTGACACACCTAGCATTACCACTTACGACAATAATGTAATATATTATTATATTATTAATATTATCTTATATTATATTGAATATCGTACGTACAACACGTCAACAAGTGTCTTATAATTATATATTATATTATATCATAGGTACTATCGGTCAAAACGTGAGTATTTGTCTCCGAGTGATTGCTGTAGAAAAAAAATATGTTCACACGACTGTAGTTGCTGTCGACCCCGACTCTCGTAAAGCTGTAAAAGAATGTCAATTGCCATGGCGGACGTCGTTTACACGAAACTAACATAATAAATCATGATGAGTGATGACCGAATGGTCTTAACTTATGAGTGTTATGATTGTTATTTTAATACGATTACCGCACTTACCAGACCTTGGTTATATCCCTGTATGAAATAAAGTGTTTTTGTAGTCAAATCCGTTAAAATTTCAGGTGGGGGGGGGATAAGCAACTCTAAGGTTTGTTTTATGACACAGAATTTAAATATATTGAAAAACACAACAAACAAAATTAATGTTAAGATTGGTCAAATTTAGATTAATTTTGACTTTTGACAAAACAGGATGCAGCCCCCCTTAATACAGTTTTTTGATTAAAAATAATTATAATATTATATGTATTTTGTCGCTAAAAAATTTAAATTCAAAAAGGAGGTCACCACAGTAAAGTTGAGAAACACTATAGATCTAACAGTCAGCTACGAGTTATTGTGTACGTATTATTATTGTATAAGTTTCTATAAGACTAAACATACCTACTAAGAAATATAAATTGGTATATGAACAAAAAATTAAGAACGAAGGTAGTGTGGCATTACACTAATACCTATCTTTCTTTTTGTAAGAATAATATAGCTACATCAAAACCATTAATTTTTTGTAACTGTGTACTACCTACAGTATAGGTATTTAAGACAATAGTGTAAAAAGGTATTACAATGTTGATTAGTAGATAGATACCTACCTCCTATATTTTTAATAGTCGTAGACTACAATAATAAGTTATGCCCAAGCCCAACTATCTAACCGGTTTATGCAACTTATAAGCAAATAATAATATTTATGGTATAATAAATATATCCTAGCTAGAGGTAATGTGTTTTTACAATACATCAGTATCAACGACAATACAATATAAGGTTCACCTATTTAGGTGATCACAAGTGACTAATCTTATCAATTACGTATACAATATTAAAGCACATTACCTACTTACTTAATTGACTCAATTAAAAAGTTTTAAATAATGTTAAGGTATCTAACAAAAACAATAAAAAAAAAATTTCTACAACACTATTATATATACTTTTAATATTATTGTAGGTTGATTCAATTTTTTATTTCCAATAAAAACGACTAATGAGGAACCTTTAATTAAATTATCAACATTTTTGACCAAGAAATATTTATTTATCGACAATAATAGAAAACAACGAAGGTGAATGATAAAATATGATTAATAGAGACATGGTATACGCTGTGAATAAACGGGAAGTTATAGAATGACTAAATAATCTGACTAATATAATCATTAGCCAGATGATTAATTTCTTTGATGAGTGGATTTGTAATAACGAAGTTAAATAAATTATAAATTTCATCATCTAATTTAAACACCAATATTCTCTTGTCCAATATATTGGTTTGGATAACACACACTTCATTATTCAAGTATTTTTCTACATTAATATGATGATGGCCAAAACATTTTAAAATTAATGAAATACTTTCATTATTTAAGGTGATTGAACCAGCAGTTGAATTACATATAAAACCATTTGAAATAAATTCGATAGATTTAAGGATCGCTGACAAAACCTTTATTGAGACATCCTAGGAAGATAGAAAAAAAAAATTTATTAAATTACAAAACTAACACAATTTAAATTTACATCGTTGTAAGAAATTATTTTTGTAATCTTTTTCGATATCGATTGAGTTGGCTCTCGGGGTGGATCTAATATAATATATTATAATTAATTAAAAATAAATATTTTGTTTTATAGTTGAATAAAATAATGGCTCACCAATAAATTCTGAAAATGAATAATTTTTTTTATTTAATTGTTTGTATAATATGTACTTGATTGGCTCCTGTGGTGGATCTAATATATATATGTATATATATTGTTTTAAATAAATATTT